TGAAGCTTGTGACCCTCACTTGTACCTCCAATGGACGAGCTTGTGACCCTCACTAGTACCTCCAGTGGTGGAGCTTGTGACCCTCACTAGTATCCCCAGTGGACGAACTTGTGACCCTCACTAGTACCTCCAGTGATGGAGCTTGTGACCCTCACTAGTGCTTCCAGTGGACGAGCTTGTGACCCTCACTAGTACCTCCAGTGGTGGAGCTTGTGACCCTCACTAGTACCTCCAGTGGACGAGCTTGTGACCCTCACTAGTACCTCCAGTGGTGGAGCTTGTGACCCTCACTAGTACCTCCAGTGGACGAGCTTGTGACCTCACAGTACCTCCAGTGGACGAGCTTGTGACCCTCACTAGTGCTTCCAGTGATTGAGCTTGTGACCCTCACTAGTGCTTCCAGTGGACGAGCTTGTGACCCTCACTAGTACCTCCAGTGGTGGAGCTTGTGGCCCTCACTAGTACCTCCAGTGGACGAGCTTGTGACCCTCACTAGTACCTCCAGTGGTGGAGCTTGTGACCCTCGCTAGTACCTCCAGTAGACGAGCTTGTTACCCTCACTAGTACCTCCAGTGATGGAGCTTGTGACCCTCACTAGTACCTCCAGTGATGGAGCTTGTGACCCTCATTAGTACCTCCAGTGATGGAACTTTTTAACCTCTATTAATGGTAATTGCTTTCTGTTCCTCGTGGAGTGTCTAGAGGCTGATGAAGGGCTCTTGAGGCAAGGAACTAGAGCTACTCTCTTTCACTGGTATAAACCTGAGTTCCTCCCGTCCAATGTCTCAGTGATTCCTACGATGGTTTAGCGCTTCTCTATGAATAAAATGATTATATTTAACCTAATTCTGGCTCCATAACAACCAAGTCTTTGTTTTACAATGTTCCCACTTACATCATATTTTACCTCTCTCATTATACTCACTTCAAAGGTATATATTTGTTACAGTGTTGCCACTTACTGTACCTTGTCTATCATTATTCTCATTATACCACTGTCTTACTCACAATATTTTTACTTATAGACCTTTGTAGTTATGGTGACTTATTCTCAAGGAAATGACGCTCAACTCCCGTCCTGAAGCAGACATCAGGAAGGCCCAGGAGCTTAGGCCTTACTTACATGTGAGTTCTGATTGAAAGCACACACACAAACACACGCACACATTCACAGATTATCGAATTTTGCTGCCATTCCCAAAGTATTGCTTATATCTGTTGTTTTCCTCCTGTCTGACTCATTTGTTTTGCCTTTCTCAATGTTTCATTCCCTTATTTTCATTCCTAAATTGTGACTTTATTGCCATTCACAATATTTGACTCATCAGCTGGTCAATCAGTCTTATTTTTAACAATGGTTCCCCAACACTGATAGTTTATCAATTAATCAAAATTTTATTCTGATTTTGCGTCTCAGAATCATGATATATGGGCATTCATCATATATTAAGTAATTTATCGATGTTTGTCTTTCATTTATCCAAGTTTGTTTCTCATAAATCAATGCATTTCTCTCATTTATCAATGCAGACCTTTTTTTTCTTTGTTCCACTTAGCTATTATCCTTTAAGTAGATCATTGACACTTCATTAAGTTCGTTCTCTGTCACAAGTACTCTCCAACTCTTCGGAAAAAAATTCAGAACATATCCTTTTGATATCATCAGGAATACCCCCAGAAATGTAGCCTCCAGCATACCTCCTGCATCGTCTCTTCCATCCACACCTCCAGCATCGTCTCTTCCATCCACACCTCCAGCATCGTCTCTTCCATCCACACCTCCTGCATCGTCTCTTCCATCCACACCTCCAGCATCGTCTCTTCCATCCACACCTCCAGCATCATCTCTTCCATCCACACCTCCAGCATCATCTCTTCCATCCACACCTCCTGCATCGTCTCTTCCATCCACACCCAGCATCGTCTCTTCCATCCACACCTCCAGCATCATCTCTTCCATCCACACCTCCAGCATCGTCTCTTCCATCCACACCTCCAGCATCATCTCTTCCATCCACACCTCCTGCATCGTCTCTTCCATCCACACCTCCAGCATTCGTCTCTTCCATCCACACCTCCAGCATCATCTCTTCCATCCACACCTCCAGCATCGTCTCTTCCATCCACACCTCCAGCATCATCTCTTCCATCCACACCTCCTGCATCGTCTCTTCCATCCACACCTCCAGCATCGTCTCTTCCATCCCCCACCTCCAGCATCATCTCTTCCATCCACACCTCCAGCATCGTCTCTTCCATCCACACCTCCAGCATCATCTCTTCCATCCACACCTCCTGCATCGTCTCTTCCATCCACACCTCCAGCATCGTCTCTTCCATCCACACTCCAGCATCATCTCTTCCATCCCACACTCCTGCATCGTCTCTTCCATCCACACCTCCAGCATCGTCTCTTCCATCCACACCTCCTGCATCGTCTCTTCCATCCACACCTCCAGCATCGTCTTTTCCATCCACACCTCCAGCGTCGTCTCTTCCATCCACACCTCCAGCATCGTCTCTTCCATCCACACCTCCAGCATCGTCTTTTCCATCCACACCTCCAGCGTCGTCTCTTCCATCCACACCTCCAGCATCGTCTCTTCCATCCACACCTCCAGCATCGTCTCTTCCATCCACACCTCCTGCATCGTCTCTTCCATCCACACCTCCTGCATCGTCTCTTCCATCCACACCTCCAGCATCGTCTCTTCCATCCACACCTCCAGCATCGTCTCTTACATCCACACCCCTGCATCGTCTCTTCCATCCATACCTCCTGCATCGTCTCTTCAATCCACACCTCCTGAAATCGTCTCTTCCATCCACACCTCCTGCATCGTCTCTTCCATCCATACCTCCTGCATCGTTCCTTCAATCCACACCTCCTGCATCGTCTCTTCCATCCACACCTCCAGCATCATCTCTTCCATCCACACCTCCAGCATCGTCTTTTCCCATCCACACTCCTGCATCGTCTCTTCCATCCACACCTCCTGCATCGTCTCTTCCATCCATACTCCTGCATCGTCTCTTCAATCCACACCTCCTGCATCGTCTCTTCCATCCACACCTCCAGCATCGTCTCTTCCATCCACACCTCCTGCATCGTCTCTTCCATCCATACCTCCTGCATCGTCTCTTCAATCCACACCTCCAGCATCGTCTCTTCCATCCACACCTCCTGCATCGTCTCTTCCATCCACACCTCCAGCATCGTCTCTTCCATCCACACCTCCTGCATCGTCTCTTCCATCCACACCTCCAGCATCATCTCTTCCATCCACACCTCCAGCATCATCTCTTCCATCCACACCTCCAGCATCGTCTCTTCCATCCCAACCTCCTGCATCGTCTCTTCCATCCACACCTCCAGCATCATCTCTTCCATCCACACCTCCAGCATCGTCTCTTCCATCCACACCTCCTGCATCGTCTCTTCCATCCACACCTCCAGCATCATCTCTTCCATCCACACCTCCAGCATCGTCTCTTCCATCCACACCTCCTGCATCGTCTCTTCCATCCACACCTCCAGCATCATCTCTTCCATCCACACCTCCTGCATGTCTCTTCAATCCACACCTCCTGCATCGTCTCTTCCATCCACACCTCCAGCATCGTCTCTTCCATCCACACCTCCTGCATCGTTCTTCCATCCATACCTCCTGCATCGTCTCTTCAATCCACACCTCCAGCATCGTCTCTTCCATCCACACCTCCTGCATCGTCTCTTCCATCCACACCTCCAGCATCGTCTCTTCCATCCACACCTCCTGCATCGTCTCTTCCATCCACACCTCCAGCATCATCTCTTCCATCCACACCTCCAGCATCATCTCTTCTCATCCACACCTCCAGCATCGTCTCTTCCATCCAACCTCCTGCATCGTCTCTTCCATCCACACCTCCAGCATCATCTCTTCCATCCACACCTCCAGCATCGTCTCTTCCATCCACACCTCCAGCATCGTCTCTTCCATCCACACCTCCAGCATCGTCTCTTCCATCCACACCTCCTGCATCGTCTCTTCCATCCACACCTCCTGCATCGTCTCTTCCATCCACACCTCCTGCATCGTCTCTTCAATCCACACCTCCAGCATCATCTCTTCCATCCACACCTCCTGCATCGTCTCTTCCATCCACACCTCCAGCATCGTCTCTTCCATCCACACCTCCAGCATCGTCTCTTCCATCCACACCTCCAGCATCGTCTCTTCCATCCACACCTCCAGCTCGTCTCTTCCATCCACACCTCCTGCATCGTCTCTTTCCATCCACACCTCCAGCATCGTCTCTTCCATCCACACCTCCACATCGTCTCTTCCATCCACACCTCCTGCATCGTCTCTTCCATCCACACCTCCAGCATCGTCTCTTCCATCCACACCTCCAGCATCGTCTCTTCCATCCACACCTCCAGCATCGTCTCTTCCATCCACACCTCCAGCATCGTCTCTTCCATCCACACCTCCAGCATCATCTCTTCTATCCACACCTCCAACATCGTCTCTTCCATCCACACCTCCTGCATCGTCTCTTCCATCCACACCTCCAGCATCGTCTTTTCCATCCAACGCCTCCAGCATCGTCTCTTCCATCCACACCTCCAGCATCGTCTCTTCCATCCACACCTCCAACATCGTCTCTTCCATCCACACCTCCAGCATCGTCTCTTCCATCCACGCCTCCAGCATCGTCTCTTCCATCCACACCTCCAGCATCATCTCTTCCATCCACGCTCCAGCATCGTCTCTTCCATCCACGCCTCCAGCATCATCTCTTCCATCCACACCTCCAGCATCATCTCTTCCATCACACCTCCAGCGTCGTCTCTTCCATCCACACCTCCTGCATCGTCTCTTCCATCCACACCTCCAGCATCGTCTCTTCCATCCACACCTCCTGCATCGTCTCTTCCATCCACACCTCCAGCATCGTCTCTTCCATCCACACCTCCTGCATCGTCTCTTCCATCCACACCTCCAGTATCATCTCTTCCATCCACACCTCCAGCATCATCTCTTCCATCCACACCTCCAGCATCGTCTCTTCCATCCACACCTCCAGCATCATCTCTTCCATCCACACCTCCAGCATCATCTCTTCCATCCACACCTCCAGTAACATCATCTCCATCAACATCTCCAACTATAAACACCAGGTCTACCATGGTCTTCCTCCCTGAGTGAAGCTTCCTGGACTGGCTTCAGCTTTTTGTGTTTTTGGCCAGGTTGGGGGTTTTCCTGGGGAAGGTGAGGATGTTGTGAGGCAGATTAGAGTGTTTCTTGGAGGAATTAATGATTTTGGGTGGCGGGAGGCGGGTGCGAGGCTTGCCAAAGATAAGGGCGGGTAGCTGCTGGCGGAGAGGCGGTCCTCCTAGAGCGGGTGGTGGGGGAAGACCCATACGGGCGTGGAGCTCTCTCTTGAACATCTGGTAGCGCAGCCGGTTGATCTGAATATAAACAAAGAAAGAGTACAAGTTCTAGGTGATACGACCACAAAAGTGTAACAAACAATGAGTTACATGTAAGAACTCACAAGAATTAAAAAAAAATAGTTAAAAGGGTGTCTTTAAAAGAGTTATTTGATACAGGTGATTAATTCTTAATCTATGGAAATGGAGTTGCTTTAAATTCCTTGTATCAAATATGCTTGCCTTCTATTTCCTTGGCTTTATATGTCATTTATATATATATATATATATATATATATATATATATATATATATATATATATATATATATATATATTATATATATATTATATATATATATATATATATATTATATATATATATATATAAGATCATAGTAAACAGGTAATTTTAGAATATCCAAAAGAGCTACTGTGAAAGAATATAGAAATTCCAAGCGCTTTCGTGACTACTCACATTATCAAGGAACAATGAAAGTAATGCATCAAAGGAAGGCATATAAAGGGTCTAGCCCACACCTCACTATCACATTCCACAACAAAGCAACACCTGAAGCGCGACTCATAAGAAAGAGAACACTGCAGCAGGCCCGCCGGCCCAACTAGACAGGTCCTTCACACAACCCACCAACAAACTATTCTACCCAAGAATTAAGAATTTTAAAATTTATTATTTGTCTAATGTATTATTAAATTCTTCCCAAATTCTATTAATTATAAATGGATCTAATTTATATAAACCAAAGGAAATATTCAAATTATTGTCAAAACTGCTTTTTATGAAACAAGATTCAATTATATTCCTGTCGACCATGGACTTGCTTGATACAACTTTCTCAACTTTTTGAAAATCAATTGGATGGTTAAAATCTCTCTCATGAATAAATAGAGCATTGGAATCTTGTCCAGTTCTAATGCTATATTTAGCATACATACAGAGGTACAAAAAAAATACAGGTAAGAGCATCATTTATGTTGTTTTAATCTTAGATCGAGACTTTTACTAGTTTGACCGAAATATACTTTATCGCAAGTTTTACAAGGAATTTCTCTATTCTTTCACAGTGGTTGTTTTGCATGTATATATTGTATATATGTATATATATATATAATATATATATATATATTTATATTAATATATATATAATATATTATAAATATATATATATATATATATAACAGCAGCACACACAACAAAAATAATAATATTGATTGCGTTATGGCACTGAGGTCGGACACAAACAACTCGCACGGAAACAGAAATCAATATGATAAGGCTACTACTGTATATTTGGGCCTCACATTGTGGGAACTCATGTTACAATGACACAGACAGCAATCACTGATAGAAAACCCACTATTAACAGATCCAATGAGCCCGTATGACTGCTCCAAGTCAGGTGGGCTTTTCAGCAGGAGTATAGAAGGTACGAGCTCACCGTGAGCACCACCAGGAGTGACCTGATATCTACTGATCACAATACCATCAGTAACTTGTCAAGCATTTTCTGGAGATTGCCATTTATTTGAGCACGAATTATTTTTGTAAAAAAATAACCTCAAGGAAAGGAAAATATGAAATGACGCATTTAGGTTTGATTCCAAATTATGCATGTTTATATAATTTTAAGATATGAATACCAGCTATTAATTTGTCAAAATATATGTTACATTCACAGTCATATGCATGACAGAACAATACCGCTCTCATTGCCTGTTATAACATAAATTTTGTGTTCAAATACTCGTTTATTTAAATCTCTTCCCGTTTCTCCTACATTATTTTCAACACTGTTCCCACATTGTCAATGGTTTTGTTAGGTTTAGTGTTATCTAATAATCTGTTGATGATGTTGTTGTATCTAGAAGCTATATTTAAATGCACTCATTGACACGAATTCCATTAGTTGCAGTATTTCGTTAAAGGTAACACTGAGTATACTAAAGACTCGAGGTTAGATTACCTCAAGAAAAGTTAGGTTAGCTTTCTGCAGATGAAATTTAGGTGGTGTAAGATTAGGTTAAGTTAGGTTAGATTGGGCTAACTTATGCTAGGTTAGGTTATAACTGTACACAGATAACCAGCAGATAGGCAAAATAACTGATGACGATGTTTCTGCCCGATTTACATCATTAACTATTCACATAGAAGTGTGATGGGAAGGGAGCCAACATATATACGAGAGGAAGGGACGGTCCACCGGGAGTAGTAGAACGAGAATAGGTAGTAGTATAATTGTAGAAGTAGTGGTAGTAGCGAGTAGAGGTAAAATTAGTGCAACAGTGGCAGGGGTGGCAATAGAGAGAGTAGTGGTAGTGACTTAAGAGTCAGAGAGTGGTGTGTCTAACGAAGGAAATGTAGCAGTAGCTGTTGTAGCAGTGGAGGTAGTTTAAGAACAAGAAAAAAAGGAGCACTCCAGGATAGCGAATGGCATGCCAGTGCAGGACAAAAATCCAGGTGGAATAACTTTTAGGAGATAACCCACCTGGGAAGAAGAAAGGAAAGTCAAAGAAAATATAGGAAAGGAGAGGTAAGGTGAGGATGAGATAAAGATCAGGGCAAGTCACGAGTGTTGTGAAGTCTGGAGCATTAACACTGTAATGAGAAAGGAAGGCATATACAGAGACAAAGCCACGACTAAGATTAATTTTAGGAAAGGTGTGAATAAAGGATGCTTCAACAAGACGGCGTCTGTAAAGCCTAGAAGAAGTATAAACAGTTTTAGCAGAGGACCAATTTATAGGATGAATGTGATCTCTAATATGACAGAAAAGAATGTTATTGTTGTCGGCAAGTCCAACACTTCTTTTGTGCTCGTTAAGTCTGTTTATCCAAAGTATTCAAGAGGACAAGAGGAGCAATAAATGGAGTAGACTACAGAAGCATCAGTGGCAGTAGAGGTACCAACTAGATTACTACGAAGGGTATAAGTTTGGCGAAAATTATTTTGATGTCTAAGGAACAGAAAGAGTTGTTAAAGACTTATGAGACAAGAAAATGTAGGGAATGCAAAGAACAAGAGATTTTTATAGGAATAAAGTGTTAGAGAGAGAAGAATATCCGTTTAGCATATGAGTAGACAGAGTTTATGAAACTGGAAGGGTAACCAAGGCGAGAGAACGCATTGCGAAGTGTGGAAATTTCCGAGACATGAAACTAAGGGTCACAAATGCGGAGGACATGGAGAAAGAGAGAAATAAAAATGCTTTTCTTGCCAGAAGGAGCAGGCTAAGAACAGTAGTAAATACACATGTCACTGTGCAATATGTATATGTATATAGATAGTTATTGTAGGTTAGATTAGGTTAGGTATTGTATGTTATGATACCCAAGGTTAAAATAGGTATGAGTATCGTAGTGTACCTTAGATCAGGATATGTTACGGCAGGATTATCTTACCTCAATCTGAGCAAAGCGAGTTGGGGTGTATGACGTGGTGGTCTGGAAGCCTCGGTGGGTGAGAAAGGCTTTGTCTAGAACTCTGAACTGGTAACCACGGCAATGTAACTCATACACCTGTAACAGTAGGGCCGGATATTATTATTATTATTATTATTATTATTATTATTATTATTATTATTATTATTATTATTGTTATTATTATTATTATTATTAATTATTATTATTAATTTTATTAATAATGTTGTTGCTGGAAACTTTAAAAGTTTTCAACTGCGATTTTTGTAAACAACGAAGTGACATCAAAATTAACCGTATTATAATTATGCGAGTTAATCGTAGTACTTAATTTGTCATCCAAATCATTATTAATAACAATAAAGCTTGAAACATTGTAGGCGAATGAGCCTTTGGAGTTAATTATGGGCCTGGCTATATTACCTGGTTTATGAGTTGTGATCATCCATACTGTATTACCTGGTTTATGAGTTGTGATCATCCATACTGTATTACCTGGTTTATGTGTTGTGATCATCCATACTGTATTACCTGGTTTATGTGTTGTGATCATCCATACTGTATTACCTGGTTTATGTGTTGTGATCATCCATACTTAATTACCTGGTTTATGAGTTGTGATCATCCATACTTATTACCTGGTTTATGAGTTGTGATCATCCATACTGTATTACCTGGTTTATGTGTTGTGATCATCCATACTGTATTACCTGGTTTATGTGTTGTGATCATCCATACTGTATTACCTGGTTTATGTGTTGTGATCATCCATACTGTATTACCTGGTTTATGAGTTGTGATCATCCATACTGTATTACCTAGTTTATGTGTTGTGATCATCCATACTGTATTACCTGGTTTATGTGTTGTGATCATCCATACTGTATTACCTGGTTTATGTGTTGTGATCATCCATACTGTATTACCTGGTTTATGTGTTGTGATCATCCATACTGTATTACCTGGTTTATGTGTTGTGATCATCCATACTGTATTACCTGGTTTATGTGTTGTGATCATCCATACTGTATTACCTGGTTATGTGTTGTAATCATCCATACAGATATGGGTTGGCTGTCAATAGTCGTTTTGTTGTTTTATTGAAATGACTATTGACTAAATCTAAGGAATTCTTTCTGAGTTTGTAATAAATATCTTTATACAAATATAATTAAAGAGATAACTTATCTTACTCAAGTAACTTGACTTAAGAAATCGTAATGACACGATTGCAAGTAAACCATACCCCCGGCCGGGATTGAACCCGCGGTCATAGAGTCTCAAAACTCCAGCCCGTCGCGTTAGCCACTAGACCAGCTAGCCACAATAAGATTCATCCAACTAGGTATATTTCTACACCATAGGAAAGTTAGCACAGGCACCTCTGTGACCACAAATGCAAGTTTTTACAGACGAATCTCCAGCTAGCGTGGCCGTGACGAACTTATCTCAGTCCCTTCACTGCCGTCAACATGACTTAAGAAATCGTAATTGAACGATTGAATAAACCATACCCCGGGTATTGAATCCGCGGTCACAGAGTGTATAAACTCCAGCCGTCGCGCTACCCATAACATAGCTGGAGATGTCTGTAAAAACTGTATACCTTTGTGTGCACCAGTAGGTGTGTGCTAACCTTCCTATGGTGTAGTAATATTATACCTGTTTGGTTGTAATCCTTATTGTGTACTGGTTATGTGGCATACGCAAAGGTCTGGATGTTTTGATGAATCTATTGACACTGGGAATTCAATCGAGGCACAAGTATAATAAGGCTTATACTCAAGTAATCAGTTTTATTTAAAATTACATCTGCAATTATTTTTTCTGTTTTAGTAAGATTCAAATTTGTATTATTATTAAGATTTTCATGTAGCTTAATAAATCTCTGAATGCCATTAGGGACTGTTAATGTTGCAGTTTAAAACTGTAGTGTAAAGCACCCTTCTGGCAAGACAGTGATGGAGTAAATGATGGTGAAGTTTTTCTTTTTCGGGCCACCCTGCCTTGGTGGGAATCGGCCAGTGTGATAATAAAATAAAATAAAATATTTATATTGATTTCAACAATGGATTTTTCAAACTGCAAGAATCCTTTTGCAATTTACACGTTGATTTTTTAAAGGTTGCAAAACTTGGATCGATACCTGCAGCAGCGGATGTGTTCTTATCTTGTGCTACATTTGACTAGTTAACTGTAAAAGTATTTTACCATGGTCAGTCCAGTCACTATTTTCAGTTAGTTTTTAATAACAGTTTTAGTTATCATTGGTCGTGGTAATCTGCTTTCGTCTATGTGCGGGTTATTTGTCTATTGTTCCAGTCACGGTATTGTGCCTTTTTTGTTATTTAAGTCTATTTAAGCAAAGGAGAGTAGGTATGATTGAATGGTCAGGACGCAAGAATATTATTGCTCTAACAGAGATCTGGTTCAGCCTGAAAGATATAGAAATGTCTTCTGAATGCCATTTACAAGGCTATAAATTACTCCACTACGATACAGTCAACAGGAAGGAGTTTACCTGGAGAGAGTTCCGGGGGTCAACGCCCCCGCGGCCCGGTCTGTGACCAGGCCTCCTTAGGTCAGTGTCCCAGAATGCGACCCACACCAGTCGACTAACACCCAGGTACCCATTTTACTGATGGGGAACATAGACAACAGGTTGAAAGAAACACGTCCAATGTTTCTACTCTGGCTGGGAATCGAACCCAGGCCCTCACCGTGTGAAGCGAGAGCGTTAACCACCAGGCCACCAGAGTGCTGATATATGTTAGAAATAATTTAAACTGTTGCACTGGACCACATAGAAAAATGAGCGACAGACATCGATTCTATTAGACTACAGTTTCTTGAGGGCCGTGAATAGCTAATCTTGGATGTGATATCAGACCCTCAAACCCACGTAGGGAACATAGTAAACTTCTATGGGACGAAATTACTATGGCATCTTGATATCGAAAATGTTGGTTTAATGGCAGATTTTAACTTTAGCAAAACTGATTCTGCAATTTGACAAGAAATTTTGAGTCTTGCAACTTTCTAGGTACAATCCAGAAATAACCTGCTAGACTTGGTTCTTGCTAACATGGACTTGGTTCTTGCTAACATGGACTTGGTTCTTGATAACATGGACTTGGTTCTTGCTAATATGGACTTGGTTCTTGCTAACATGGACTTGGTTCTTGCTAACATGGACTTGGTTCTTGCTAACATGGACTTGGTTCTTGCTAACATGGACTTGGTTCTTGATAATATGGACTTGGTTCTTGCTAACATGGACTTGGTTCTTGCTAACATGGACTTGCTTCTTGCTAACATGGACTTGGTTCTTGCTAACATGGACTTGGTTCTTGATAACATGGACTTGGTTCTTGCTAACATGGACTTGGTTCTTGCTAACATGGACTTGGTTCTTGCTAACATGGACTTGCTTCTTGCTAACATGGACTTGCTTCTTGCTAACATGGACTTGCTTCTTGCTAACATGGACTTGCTTCTTGCTAACATGGACTTGCTTCTTGCTAACATGGACTTGGTTGTTGCTAACATGGACTTGCTCTTGTAACATGACTTGTTCTTGCTAACATGGACTTGTTCTTGATAAAAATGACTTGGTTGTTGCTAAATGGACTTGGGTTCTGCTAACATGGACTTGGTTCTTGCTAACATGGACTTGGTTCTTGCTAACATGGACTTGGTTCTTGCTAACATGGACTTGGTTCTTGCTAACATGGACTTGCTTTGCTAACATGGACTTGCTTCTTGCTAACATGGACTTGCTTCTTGCTAACATGGACTTGCTTCTTGCTAACATGGACTTGCTTCTTGCTAACATGGACTTGGTTCTTGCTAACATGGACTTGCTTCTTGCTAACATGGACTTGCTTCTTGCTAACATGGACTTGCTTCTTGCTAACATGGACTTGCTTCTTGCTAACATGGACTCTTCAATAAATAATCTTGAGGTTAATAATGAGTTTATGGAAAGAAATCATAAATCACCCGTTTTTAATATATAATAAAATTACCTTAATAACTACAATCAAATCAAGATCTCTTACATAAAACCGATTTTGTGAGGCTGAAGGACTGTCTAGGAGGTGGAATTGATTTGTGTTACCTGACAGGTGAATACCCCATGAAGCGGGTAGGTGTTGCATGTCACATTCTTAGTGAAATACAATGTATCTCCATCACAACTGTCAGAAGAGTTGAGACGAACCTGACTGTTTCTGGTAAAGCCGTAGCCGATGAATCTCTCATCGAAGGGCGGCGCTGTGTAGGGCAGGATGAGCACAGGTTCCCAGAACTCTTCAAAAGTGGTGATATTGTACAGCACTGTGTAGTCCTGTGGCGACCCACTACCTGGCTCCACCTCCCAGTACTCCAGGTGGGAGTTACCCTGGTTCTTTGCGTATACCTGAACAATAGTAACAACAAAAGCAATAATAATAATAATAATAATAATAATAATAATAATAATAATTTTTATTAACACATAGGCCGTTTCCCACCTAGAAAGGGTGACCCTAGAAAAAAGAAACACTTACCATCATTCTCTCCATCACTGTTTTGCCTGAGGTGCGCGTCGCTAGTTATAAAACTTCAACAATAAACTCCCTTTCTTCAGAGCGCAAACACTGTACCTCAGTCTCAAGGGATCGAGTCCAGCTAACCGGTTTCCCTGAATCTCTTCATAAATCTTAATTTGCATACACTCCAAGAGCACGTCAAATTCTAAAAGATCATTCGTCTCCACTTGCTCCTAACACGCTCATGCACGCTTACTGGAATACTAACACACTCACGCACGCTTGCTGGAATACTAACACTCTCACGCACTCTTGCTGGAACACTAACACACTCACGCACGCTTGTTGGAGCACTAACACTCTCACGCACGCTTGCTGGAGCACTAACACTCTCACGCACGCTTGCTGGAACACTAATACTCTCACGCACGCTTGCTGGAACACTAACACACTCACGCACGCTTGCTAGAACACTAACACTCTCACGCACGCTTGCTGTAACACTAACACACTCACGCACGCTTGCTGGAACACTAACACTCTCACGCACGCTTGCTGGAGCACTAACACTCTCACGCACGCTTGCTGGAACACTAACACACTCACGCACGCTTGCTGGAATACTAACACTCTCACGCACTCTTGCTGGAACACTAACACACTCACGCACGCTTGTTGGAGCACTAACACTCTCACGCACGCTTGCTGGAGCACTAACACTCTCACGCACGCTTGCTGGAACACTAATACTCTCACGCACGCTTGCTGGAACACTAACACACTCACGCACGCTTGCTGGAACACTAACACGCTCACGCACGCTTGCTGGAACACTAACACTCTCACGCACACTTGCTGGAACACTAACACTCTCACGCACACTTGCTGGAACACTAACACTCTCACGCACACTTGCTGGAACACTAACACTCTCACGCACACTTGCTGGAACACTAACACTCTCACGCACACTTGCTGGAACACTAACACGCTCACGCACGCTTGCTGGAACACTAACACACTCACGCACACTTGCTGGAACACTAACACGCTCACGCACGCTTGCTGGAACACTAACACGCTCACGCACGCTTGCTGGAACACTAACACTCTCACGCACGCTTGCTGGAACACTAACACGCTCACGCACGCTTGCTGGAACACACTAACACGCTCACGCACGCTTGCTGGAACACTAACACTCTCACGCACGCTTGCTGGAACACTAACACGCTCACGCACGCTTGCTGGAACACTAACACTCTCACGCACTCATGCTGGAAGACAATAATAAAAATAATTTTAATAATTCTAGATTCTTTTTTTTACCTTGACGATGAGACTTCTCAATCTAAGCAGACATAACCTAAATCCCGTCAGTATTTTCAAAACTAAGTCAATCCGATTTTAACAAAAGTAAATCCATTGAGTTTTAACGAAACTAAACCGTTCAGTTTTAATAAAGCTAAAATCAAATATAATATATATTATATATATATATATATATATATATATATATAATATATATATATATATATATATATATATAATATATAATATATATATATATATATATAATATGTCGTGCCGAATAGGCAGAACTTGCGATCTTGGCTTAAATAGCAACGCTCATCTTGCCGTATAGGACAAGTGAAAATTTGTGTATGCAGTAATTTCGCCAAAATCATTTTGAACCTAACGAAAAAAAAAAATATATTTCACCGTGTTTGTTTAGTATTAAATTATTGTAAACAAATCTAAAATATATTTAGTTGGGTTAGGCTAAAATAAATTGCGCTTGTTATAATAAGGTTAGGTAAGTTTTCTAAGATTCTTTTGTTGCAAAATTAAAAATTTTTACATTATCATCAATAAAAAAAATATATCTTTAAACGTATAAGAGAAAATTTTAGAAAGGACTTAATTTTAGATGAGTTCTTGCTAATTGACCAGTTCTACATATTCGGCACGACATATATATATATATATACATATATATATATATATATATATATATATATATATATATATATATATATATATATAATATATATAATATTATATATATATATATATATATTATATATATATAATATATATATATATACATATACATATATATATATATATATATATATATATATAAATATATATATATATATATATATATATATATATATATATAATATATACATATATATATATATATATATATATATATATATATATATATAATATATATATATATATATATAATATATATATATATATATATAATATGTATATATATATGTATATATATATATATATATATATATATATATATATATATATATATATATATATATATATATATATATATATATATATATATATATAAAATAGGATTGTTGATGTCTTTTGTCTGTCTCATAAATATGCAAGATTACAGGTACGTCTTGCTACTTCTACTTACACTTAGGTCACACTACACATACGTGTACACGTTTATTTATGCACACTCATCTGAGTTTTCTTTGATTTTATCTTAATAGTTCTTGGTCTTATTACTTTTCCTTTTATATCCATGGGGAAGTGGAATAAGAATCTTTCCTCCGTAAGCCATGCGTGTTGTAAAAGTCAACTAAAATGCCGGGAACAATGGGCTTGTAACCCCTTTTCCTGTAATAATTACTAAAAAGAATAAGAAGAAGAAAATTGTAAAAGTGGGAAGTCTGAATGTGCGTGGATGTTGTGCGAATGATAAGAAAGAGATGATTGTGGATGTTATGAATGAGAAGAAGCTGGATGTCCTGAAACAAAGCTGAAGGGGGTGGGAGAGTTTCAGTGGGGAGGAATAAATGGGATTAGGCCAGGGGTTTCAAATAGAGTTAGAGCTAAAGAAGGAGTAGCAATAATGTTGAAGGATAAGTTATGGCAGGAAAAGAGGGACTACAAATGTATTAACTCAAGGATTATGTGGAGTAAAATAAAGGTTGGATGTGAAAAGTGGGTTATAGTAAGCGTATATGCACCTGGAGAAGACAGAAGTGCAGAGGAGAGAGAGAGAGATTTTGGGAAATGTTGAGTGAATGCTTGGGGAGTTTTGAACCAAGTGTGAGAGTAATGGTGGTTGGGGATTTCAATGCTAAAGTGGGTAAAAATGTTGTGGAGGGAGTAGTATGTAAATTTGGGGTTCCAGGAGTAAATGAAAATGGGGAGCCTTTAATTGAGCTATGTGTAGAAAGAGGTTTGGAAATATGTAATACATATTTTATGAAGAAGAGGATAAATAAATATACAAGGTATGATATAGCACGTAATGAAAGTAGTTTGTTAGATTATGTATTGGTGGATAAAAGGTTGATGGGTAGGCTCCAGGATGTACATGTTTACAGAGGGGCAACTGATATATCGGATCATTATTTACTTGTAGCTACAGTTAGAATAAGAGGTAGATGGGAAAAGAGGAAAATGGCAACAACAATCAAGAGGGAGGTGAAAATGTATAAACTAAGGGAGGAGGAAGTTTGGGTGAGATATAAGCAACTATTGGCAGAAAGGTGGGCTGGTGCAAGTTTGAGTAGTGGGGAGGGTTGAAGAGGGTTGGAATAGTTTTAAAAATGCAGTATTAGAATGTGGGGCAGAAGTTTGTGGTTATAGGAGGGTGGTGCAGGAGGAAAGAGGAGTGATTGGTGGAATGATGAAGTAAAGGGTGTGATAAAAGTTAGCTTATGAGAGGTTTTTTTTACAAAGCAGAAGTGTTATAAGAAGGGTAGAGTATATGGAGAGTAAAAGAAAGGTGAAGAGAGTGGTGAGAGAGTGCAAAAGGAGAGTAGATAATAGAGTGGGAGAGACACTGTCAAGAAATTTTAATGAAAATAAGAAAATTTTTGGAGTTAAACAAGTTAAGAAAGCCTAGAGAACGAATGGATTTGTCAGTTAAAAACAGAGTAGGGGAGTTAGTAGATGGGGAGGTGGAGGTTTTGGGTAGATGGTGGAATATTTTGAGGAACTTTTAAATGTCGACGAAGAAAGGGAAGCGGTAATTTCATGCACTGGCCAGGGAGGTATACCATCTTTTAGGAGTGAATAAGAACAGGAAGTGAGTGTGGGAGAGGTGCGTGAGGCATTACGTAGAATGAAAGGGGGTAAAGCAGCTGGAACTGACTGGATCATGAGAGAAATGTTAAAAGCAGGGGGGGATATAGTGTTGGAGTGGTTGGTATTTTTGTTTAATAAATGCATGAAAGAGGGGAAGGTACCTAGGGATTGGCAGAGAGCATGTATAGTCCCTTTATGTAAAGGGAAGCGGGCCAAAAGAGATTGTAAAAATTATAGAGGAATAAGTTTACTGAGTATACCAGGAAAAGTGTACGGTAGGGTTATTATTGAAAGAATTAGAGGTAAGACAGAACGTAGGATTGCGGATGAGCAAGAGGATTTCAGAGTGGGTAGGGGATGTGTAGATCAAGTGTTTACATTGAGGCATATGTGTGAACAGTATTTAGATAAAGATAGGGAAGCTTTTATTGCATTTATGGATTTAGAAAAGGCATATGATAGAGTGCATAGGGGAGCAATGTGGTAGATGTTGCAAGTATATGGAATAGGTGGTAAGTTACAAAATACTGTAAAGAGTTTTTATAAGGATAGTGAGGCTCAGGTTAGGGTGTGTAGAAGAGAGGGAGACTACTTCCCAGTAAAAGTAGGTCTTAGACAGGGATGTGTAATGTCACCATTGTTGTTTAATGTATTTATAGATGGGGTTGTAAAAGAAGTAAATGCTAGGGTGTTCGGGAGAGGGGTGGGATTAAATTATGGGGAATCAAATACAAAATGGGAATTGACACAATTGCTTTTTGCTGATGATACTGTGCTCATGGGAGATTCTAAAGAAAAATTGCAAAGGTTAGTGGATGAGTTTGGGAGTGTGTGTAAGGGTAGAAAGTTGAAAATGAACATAGAAAAGAGTAAGGTGATGAGGGTATAAAATGATTTAGATGAAGAAAAATTGGATATCAAATTGGGGAGGAGGAGTATGGAAGAAGTGAATGTTTTCAGATACTTGGGACTTGACGTATTGGCGGATGGATTTATGAAGGATGAGGTTAATCATAGAACTGATGAGGGAAAAAAGGTGAGTGGTGCGTTGAGGTATATGAGGAGATAAAAAACATTATCTATTGAGGCAAAGAAGGGAATGTATGAAAGTATAGTAGTACCAACACTCTTACATGGGTGTGAAGCTCGAGTTGTGAATGCAGCAGCGAGGAGGTGGTTGGAGGCAGTGGAGATGTCCTTTCGAAGGGCAATGAGTGGTGTAAATATTATGCAGAAAATTTGGAGTGTGGAAATTAGGAGAAGGTGTGCAGTTAATAAAAGTATTAGTCAGAGGGCTGAAGAGGGGTTGTTGAGGTGGTTTGGTCATTTAAAGAGAATGAATCAAAGTAGAATGGCATGGAGAGCGTATAAATCTGTGGGGGAAGGAAGGCGGGGTAGGGGTCGTCCTCGAAAAGGTTGGAGGGAGGGGGTAAAGGAGGTTTTGTGGGCGAGGGGCTTGGACTTCCAGCAAGCGTGCGTGAGCGTGTTTGATAGGAGTGAATGGAGACGAATGGTATTTGGGACCTGACGATCTGTTGGAGTGTGAGCAGGGTAATATTTAGTGAAGGGATTCAGGGAAACCGGTTATTTTTATATAGCCGGGCTTGAGTCCAGGAAATGGGAAGTACAATGCCTGCACTCTAAAGGAGGGGTTTGGGATATTAGCAGTTTGGAGGGATATGTTGTGTATCTTTATACGTATATGCTTCTAAGCTGTTGTGTTCTGAGCACCTCTGCAAAAACAGTGATTATGTGTGAGTGAGGTGAAAGTGTTGAATGATGATGAAAGTATTTTCTTTTTGAGGATTTTCTTTCTTTTTGGGTCACCCTGCCTCGGTGGGAGACGGCCGACTTGTTATAAATATATATATATTATATATATATTATATATATATATATATATATATATATATATATATATATATATATATATATATATATACATATATATAATTGTAACCACGGACGAGTGGTATTGATCACTAACTAACAAAACTGCGCTAGCCAAGGATTCGAACCCATGTTGTACTGGCCTGCCTCATGGTAAGCGAGAACCACATGACGCTTTAAATTACAGGACCACCCAACCCTACAAGAACGACTGGCACAGTGTTGTTATTGATCAATACCACTCGTCCGTGGTTACAATAATATATAAGTGCTGCTCGTGAGGCTAGTACATCAGACAGGGATGAGATTGAAATATTGTCTCTCAGTGTACTGGTGGCGCAGCTGCTTTTCATCGGGGGAATGTTGCATCTCCTGCCGAGTCTTTTGCTTTCATAGGGAGTGATTTTCAGGTGCAAATTTGGTACTAAACCCTTCAGGATTTTCCAAGTGTAAATTATCATGTATCTCTCTCGCCTGCGCTCCAGGGAATACAGATCAAGGGCCTTCAGCCTTTCCCAGTAATTTAGGTGCCTTATCGTACTTATGTATGCCTTGAAAGTTCTTTGTACATTTCCCTTGCCTTGAAGGGGACCGTTAGTGTACACCAGTATTCCAGCCTAGAGAGAACAAGCGATTTGAAGAGAATCGCAAAGGCTTGGCGTGCCTAGTTTTGAAGGTTCTCATTATCAGTCCTATCATATTCCTAGCAGATGCGGCAGAAACATTGTTGTGTTCTTTGAAGGTGAGATCCTCTGACATTATCACTCCCAGGTCCTTCACATTACTTTTTTGTTGTATTGTATGGTTAGAATTTGTGTACCCTGATACAGTTTTAAATTCCTCAAGTTTTCCATATCTGAGTAGTTGAAATTTCTCTTCATTGAACTTCATATTGTTTTGAGTGGCCCATTTGAAGATTTGGTTGACATTCACTTGGAGTCTCGCAGTGTTTTCGATGAAGGTCACTGTCATGGGAATCCGGGTGTCATCCGCAAAGGAAGACACGGAGCTATGGCTTACATCTCTGTCTTTGTCAGATATGGGGATGAGGAATAGAATGGGAGTGAGTACTGTGCTTTGTGGAACAGAGCTTTTCACCTTAGCTGCCTCAGACTTCACTCTGTTTACTATTACTCTTCGTGTTCTATTTGTCAGAAAGTTATAGATCCATCTAACAACTTTTCCTGTTATTCCTTTATCAAGCATTTTGTGCGCTATTACACCATGGTCACACTTGTTGAAAGCTTTTACAAAGTCTGTGTATACTACATCTGTATTTTGTTCATCCTCTAAGCAAGGATGCTATACAAAATTCCCTATATTTCTTTTTGTGGAAAATTTTGGATTTTTCTAAATTCAGCATGTGTAAATTTGAATAATACAATAATTGTGTAATAAAATGTGATGTTGATTTGATCCTTTCGAAAAAATTCTAGTGAGGGGGGTGTAAAACAACTGCTAAGTGATACTGGGGAAAAGACACTGCATTGAATTTAGTGTGCGACTACTGGACTGGGGTGCGCAATGTGACTGGGTGTTCTCTGATGCCAAATTGGGGTATTTTTGCCTGTTGTAATAGGAACCCATGTTAATGTCCCCTGCTGAAGAATTGTGACAAGAAATTTGTAGGACCTCATGAATTACGTGTGGATGGTGGAAAATAAATGTGGACATCACTCACAGGGAAGTACACCATTAGTCCTTGCATTTAGATCTCAACTGGCCAGTGTAGGGTCTAGGTGTTAGGGAGGTGCTGTGGTGTGATCCATCTACAGTAATTCAATAGTCAGTGGTAATATAAAGTTGTTTCCTAATATCACTATTGTATTATATGTATTGTACTATTTATATTTTTTTGTACCCAGCAAGTACATCAAAATAACATACAGACTACACAACTTTAATTTACCAGAGAAACTGGTTTTAATATTATAATTATTAATTTAATGTCAGGTCTAGCTTTCCGTGAGAGTGGTAGAGAGTGGGCAACAAAGGAGTGACAGTTCAGTGACCTGCTGTGACTTAAGTCCCACTTACCTCACCCAAATTACTTGCAGGTAATAATTCAGGTAATGTACTGTATGCCTCCTGCAGGTGATTTGCTCACATAATAATAATAATAATAATAATAATAATAATAATAAATAATAATAATAATAATAATTTTCAAAACTTTTATGCAGGGGTTCTCGTGAGGTTTGGTGATGCTAAATCAACATTCTTCTCACCTGTCCTTCATGTTTCGCCTGTCGGGAATCCTTTCCAGCTTGGTTACAGTACACTGAGATTACGGGGAGGTATTAATATACCTTAAGTGGGGCAGGAGAGACTATACCAGTGTTAGTGCTCATTTTCCCTGGTTTCGTTTGGAGGGTATACTATGATAGACTATTCCACACGTTTCTTCCATCGGAGATTCGTTCCGTCTTCGGCAGTGTTGGTAATAATAATAATAAGAATATCTTTATTTCTACAAGTACACGTACAAGGTATACAGACCATAGCTGACATCAGTGACATACTACTATATAGAAAGCCGCTTGTTATGCAGAGCATTTTGGGCAAATTAGGTCAATTTTGTCCCAGGATGCTACCCACACCAGCCAACTAACACCCAGATACCCATTTTACTGATGGGTGAACAAGGACAGCAGGTGTCTTATGGAAACAGGTCTAAATGCTTTCCAGCCTTACCGGGGATTCGGTTCTCGGACTTTAGTGTGTGAGCTGATGGCGCCAGTTTAGGCTCTGCATATGAGTACAGTTGCACAAATGAACAAGAGTACAATTTATGCGACTACTTCTTACATAATAGCATGTATGTGAGTTTCTTAGGATAGTGTAGGGAAGGTTGATTAGAGTGATTATCGCCTTTGGGTTCCAAGTGTTAAGAAAGAGTGCAATTGTCATGGTAAATATGGTCGTAGTAGATAATTATTTTCCCTACTGGCACTTTCTGGAACATTCTGACGTGTGATAGTATAGATTGCCAACTAGTTAATTTGCTTCGCTTACATAAAGCTTGAGTTGAGGGTGTATCAACCCCTTAGGTATGATTCCATAAGGCAACAGATTAGTTGATATTGATTAGATGCGGCTTCGGGGCTGACTACTGCGTTTTTAACATGGAATCTTACAGATACAGCCATCAGAGATACCTTAATATCACTTTACCTTAATGTGGAAGCGTCGTGCTAGGCCCTTCAGGAGAAGTCTAAGCAATTCCTTCTTATCATCAGGAGGATATTCAACTGAAGTGTCTAGCTCGTACACAGGGATCACATAAGCACACTTCCAGCATGGAGTCCCATCAGTCCCTCCAGAGAGGAATTTGGTGAGATTTTCAGACATATATGGCGGTGTTAGCATATCAATATCGATGGTGAGGGAGTACTCACACTGACACGTCCTTCTAGCCAAGTTCCTCATTAAGTTCTGTGGATAGCGGCGCTCCCTCGTCTCATTCTCGTCCCTAAGACTCATTAAGATCTTGTTGGATTCCTCAGGATCGTCACAGCTGAGATCAAGCAACTCTGGGATTGGCGATGAACGGGGAGGCCGTGTTCTGGGGTGCACCAAGTGGAATGATACTTTTTCCTGAACGTTGGGAAAACAACGTCGCAAGTAGGATACCATGGCAGCCGCCACAGCATACTCGGAACCCGGCACAAAGACTGCCACGGACATGGGTCCTGTCCAGGTCTCCGCTTGCCACGCTACCCAAAATAGTCGCTCGATAGAGGCCTGTGTAGCCAAGCACACATGGAACTCAGCAGTAATTACGTCCCATCCTTGTGCCGGCCACACGAAAGCATGAGTAGTGTAGTTCCCAGAGGCGTCCAGTACTCCGAACACTGCAGGCAGTACTCCGAAGACTGTGGACAGCTCTCCGCCAGTACCCAGTGGAGATGTCGACTGTGAACCAT